TCTCACCGGCGACATGTTCTCTCATAGAACCGTTCCCTTTTTCTTATTTGCCTACAGTCTATGCTCATCTCCCATCAAAAGTGGCACTGCCCCCTAAACCAGTGTTTTTCAACCACTGTGCTGTTAGTGATGGTCAGGTGTAGAAAATCATCCTATTTCACCTCATTGGTGTAAAAAGATTTTTTGATTAGGAATTAATTACCCGCAAATAATCTGCCATTTTTTGCCATCTGTGCTGTTCTAGTGACTGGTGGAGTAATCATGTAATAATTCCTTATGACTAGATTTTGTATATTATTTTGGATATTGAAGTGGACATGTTAAGAGCAATTTGAAAGAAGAAATATAAAATATGATAAAAAATACATTTTTGTGTTTATTTGATTCCTATTCAAGACACTTAAGATAAGATAAGAATAAAATCAGAATACCTATAGTGTTGCTATAGGCGGCTACAGATTTGTTTAACGTTTTTGGTTGGTGTGCCTCGAGATTTTTTTCTATGAAAAAATGTATCTTGGCTCAAAAAAGGTTGAAAAACACTGCTGTAGAGGGTCAATTTGTTACTACATACTCTGTCTAGAAGCCCATATTTACGGACAAGCTTTAGCAGATCGTCCCCCAGACACTCTCGTTAAAAACATAAAAGACCTCTATAGACGTCTTTGGCAGCCAATGAGTTAACAGACTCTGTTTTTAAAACCCCCGCTGACCGGTGGTTTTTCCTCTGTTTAAGGTCCCAGAAGCTTCAGACGGACGAGCAGGTGAGGCCCCGCCCACATTAGGGTTGTCACGATACTAAAATGTTCAACTGGATACCGATACTCAGGAAAATACTCGATACTCGATACCATTTTGGATACCACAAGAATAAAAACAAAGACCCCAAAATTTAACTGAATTTTGACAGGTTAGTGTCTTTGGTTCCAAAGTTACCTGTTACTGATGTTATCGTGGCCCACATTAATGACCCTAACCCTGACCCTATCCCTAACCCTAACCCTGACCCTGACCCTAACCCTAACCCTGACCCTGACCTAAACCTAACTCTAACCCTAACCCTAAACCTAACTCTAACTCTAACCCTAACCCTAACCCTAACCCTGACCCTAACCCTAACCCTAACCCTAACCCTAACCCAGACCCTGAGAATTAGGTTTAGGGTCAGGGTTAGATTTAGGGTCATTGTTAGGTATAGGGTTAGGGTCAGGGTTATGGTTAGGTTTAAGGTCAGGGTTTGGTTTAGGGTTAGGTTAGGATGAGGGTTAGGGTCAGGGTCAGGGTTAGGGTCAGGGTCAGGGTTATGGTTAGGTTTATGGTCAGGGTTTGGTTTAGGGTTAGGGTTAGATTTAGGGTCATTGTTAAGTTTAGGGTTAGGTTAGGTTTAGGATCATTGTTAGGGTCAGGGTTAGGTTTAGGGTCAGGGTTAGGTTCAGGGTTAGGTTTAGGCTTAGGACATCCTTTATCTTCTGATTTCATATAGACAGTAAAGTTTGGTTTCCACCTCAGAAAGCTGCTAGTCACATGACCTAATCAAAATGGCCGACTTGAATGTGGGAGGAGTTGGACATCCATCCTTGGCTTCCTACAGGCTCGATCTGATCCAGATATCGAATCGATCTGATCCAGATATCGGCTCGATCTGATCCAGATATCGGATCGGGACGAGCCCACCCAGAAATGATTCGCAGCGTTTTGGGTTAAACCCCGTTTCCATGGTTACAGGAGGAGGAGCCGTCCCCGTGTTCCCTTTGTGAGCGGGAGGACGCCATCACGGAGCCAAAGGTGGGAAAAGAGGGAAACAATTCACGTTGTTATGAATCTCACGTACAGTGGGGGAAATAAGTATTTGAGCCCTTGCTGATTTTG